GATCCTTGCTCATAGAAGCATCTATAACCAACTTGCATAGATCCTTATATTGCTCTTCCTTAATGTTATTCGAAGATTCTAACTTTTTAAAATTACTAAAAAGAAAAATTCAATAAGAACAAAAAATTGACTCTGTTATAAGAGATAATAATTGTACTTGTAATTAAATTTTAAATACAATTTGAATGAAACGATAATTTAACTATTAAGTCATACAAAATGATTAAAATGAAAGAAATCATAGATTTTTAGAAAAAAATCAACTAAATAATATAAAAAATTCTAATAGCGTTACCTGCGAATATAGGTTAAAGCCTCTCTCTTTTCCTTGTTGCTACTAGTTTCCCGTAGCATTTTTAGAATCTTCGGGAAAGATTGAGTTACAGTAGCCATATCTTTACACTTGTTGTTTACAAAAACTCTATCGATATTTAAACATCGCTTCACACCCGTAGCGTCCTAAAGCCCTAAAAGAAAAGAGCCTTACGTACTTGCTTGATGAAAAAATTTGCGCGCGCGACTAATGCGATAACAATTTCTTGTACTGTGGATAGCTTCACGAAATTCGATTCCAATGTATTCTCGATCGTTTGTTCAACATATATGCGCAAATATATTCGACGAAACACTATCACGCACAATATGTTAAAATCCTAAAAAGAATTACACCGATTATTTCAAAACCAATAATGAATTTATCTATATCATTCTCTTTTTATTTTATATTACAGCTGTACGAAACAAAAGCACTAAACATTTGTTGTTTTGGAAGCAACGCCAATAGCTTCAATACCAACGTTCGGCTGCACTGGGTTGCACTCACTCACGCTCAACTCTCACAATCCTTTATAGTCAGATCTACATATTTATCGAAACACATTTTCCATTGCATTACGCTTTTGAAAACACGACTTCTTTATCTGATAATATCTAGCTAACTATTTCAGAGTAAAACAATAAAAAGATTGAATTTTTATTTTATAAATATACTTATTATTTAAACTTAATGATTAGGTTATTTGTAATAATTAATTAAAATGTATTATTTCCTTGTTTCTTTATGTGTACGAGTTTTCATAAAAATCTCATAAGTGAACATGTACTAAATTACAAACAACAATTTGACACGAAAAAAAGTAAATTATAATACTTATAATGATGTTATGTATATGTATATGTGATCACAAACCTTAGTAATTTAGCATATAAGCAACGAAAAATGCATTGGCGCCAAATTTTTTCCAACCTTATCACGACGCTTGTGGAACAGATGGCGTTACATTTGGAGTACAAGAAATGTTCTCTTTGATTGGCAGAATCTTAAATAAACAGGACTCCATCATTGTAAAATAAGTTTACCATTGACCAATCCAGAAACGCGTTACATCAAACAATTCAAACGCGATGTTACATTTCAAAACATTTTCAGTTATACTTCCAGTAAACTACAGAGAGTTGTCGAATGCTCGTGGACTAAGCTCTTTTATTAAAACTAATATTTTATAAAAAAGTATTTACAAATTTTATTTATTGATATAATATGGCTAATTATCAAGATCGATATAAAGCAAATAATGGTTTCGGAAACATACGAAACAGTCGTGCTATTCGTGCTAGAATATGCGAAATCAAACGTAAAAAACAGAGGGCCGAAGATTTTTCAAAAAAACGAGAATTAGAAGTTGTTGCTGATATAGACACGGAAGGTAACATGATTAATTTTTATAATAAAACAAGAATTTCAATAATCTTCGAATAATTATATCATATGAAGTATAAAGTGTGTGATGTAATTTATGAGAACCTATGAAATGTCTGTAGCTCTTGTTAAAATTATTTTAAAAAATAGAAATTATTTTTTACTTTTATTGATCAATTTCTTCCCAAAAAAGATAACTCAATATTATAAAAATCAATTATATATTCTTATGAGATAGTTATATTCAATTATATGATCTATAATTATATTAATTTTACGTTATAATTTTATAGCTTTATTGTACTCATTATTAAATTACATTTTTATAAAAATATATTTTTATTGTTCAGATGACAAGAATAATAGATACTGCAAGTTATTGAAATGGAAAGCTGAACGGGATAGACTTAAAAAAATGGAACAAAAGAAGAAAAAACCTGTCTTCAAAGTGGGTGTAGTTCATCATAATTACTACTCTCCCCCAATAAAAGATTCTAGTATACTGCCTCATACCAAATCATGTTTGCATAATCCTAAACAAATTACACGACCTATGTTACCACCAAAAAGAGTTACCAGAGCTACTGAAAAACGTCTTCTTAAGAAACAAGAGATATCCACAGAAATACTACCAAAACAAAATATTATAGGAAAAAAACAAGAAAAATTATTAGGAAAAGATACAGAAAAAAATAGTGTGAAAGATGAACAAAAATCTTTTGCACCTAGTAATTATAAATTCACTGCTCCAAGTGGAGTAACAAGTATGCCTTTATTTGGTCGTGTGACTATGTTACATACACCTGAAAAAGTTTCTGCGCCAATGAAAAAAGTGAATAAAGCAAAAGTATCTTTATCGAAAGAAAAATTAGAATTATTGGATCAAGAATATGATGTAGCAACAAGTAATATAAGTGATCAAATACCTAATATTAACATAATAAATAATTCAGTAAAAGAAATAAAATTATACTTGTCATCTGATGATAATGAGATGACATTTGACTGTCCTGATAAAGAAGGAGAATTTCTTAGAAATAGTACTTTTTCCAATGACAGTCATTCACAAATGATACCATCACCTGGGAATATTTCAGCTATTATAACAGAAAAGGAAATATCCAAAAATTCAACCAATACTAAAATTAAAACTTCTTTATCAAAAAATATCTCTAAAAATAAAACTAAAAACAAGTCTCTTAAAAGTATAGATAATAGCCAAACAAAAGTAACATCTCCTTTAGCGATTGCTGATACCACATTAACTGAAACAAATTTATCTAAGGATCCAGTATTTTTTTCGCCATACATAGTATCTAGTCGTGGTAAAAGTAATGCTAGAAAGGAACAACAAATACGTCGTGGTATAGGTTCTCCATCTGATGATATTCCTACGAAAGAAACAGTTATGAAAACTCTTAACATATCAATTGAAGAAGAAGAACGCACTGCACAATACTTTGCTTTCATATTAAAAAAAGAAATAGATAGGCTTAATGAACTTTGCAAGAAATGGACAGATATACAGACAGAGTCAGATATTACAGAAGATGCTCAATATCAAATTAATCAAGCTATAGGACAAACACGTTTATTAATAAATAAAAAGTTTGAAAGATTTCAAAGATTAGTATCAGATTGTGAGACTGGTAAGGGAGAAATGTTAGTTACTTGCAGAGATTTACAAGGATTCTGGGATATGACATATATGGAAGTAATAAATTGTAATACACGATTTGAAGCATTAGAAAAACTTCGTTCTAGAGGTTGGGAAGAAGAAGAAATAACTGTCACTAAAGTTAAACCTAAAAAAAAAGTAGTGGCAAAAAAGAAAATTGTACCTAAAAAAAAAAGTTCAGTCCATGCTTTTATCTTGGCTACAAAGCAAAAAATGAAAAATAATAAAGACAATTCAAAAATGTTAGAAGAAAATATAAATGAAAACACAAATGAATCTTTAACTTCCATAAATAATATTAATATAGAAAACAAAAATAAAGTCTCATTCAACAATAATACTAGACGATTAAAATCTATGGACTCTAAGGATGAATTATCTGTCTCTAGTAAAAAAATAAATTCTAGACAAAGTTTATTACATAAAACTCTTTTATCAGAATCATGTAAAACTATAAAAACTCCGATAACTTTAATGAAAATAAGTCAGATGTACAAAACTCCTAAAATTGAACTGGATGATTCTATATCATATATTAACTCTAAACAAACACCTAGTAAGAGCATATTAAAACGTAAAGATGATTTTTCAATAAATGCTTTACGTTTAACAAAATCTATGCAGAAAGTTAACTTTGATGATCATGTAGTCTTAAATGAAGTCCCTATTGATGAAGAAGTACAAGACAATTTGGATCTGGCTGCCAGATTAGCTAAAATAGAGAATTATGACTTAGATTCTGAATACATAAATTATAAGATAAAAACTGAAAAAAAACTTAATTTCGATGATAATTCTTTCCAAGATTCAGAAAATGACTTACAATTTAATACTAATCAATTACTTTCATCGAGTGTAACTAACAAAGAAGATGATATTCTTCTAAACCTAGAGACATGTGAACAATTTGTCACAAATACTTCACCTAAAATTGAAAACATATTATTAAACATGTCATTAGAGAAATCTGCAGAAAATAAAACAAACACGAGAACTCTTAGAAACAGAATTGTTATAACAGAAAACTCTGCAAGAAGAATGTCTACAAGAAGTAGGAAAACAAATATTACAGTAAGTTAAAAACAAATTTTTTGTAGTATAGTAATATATTAGTATATGGCTTATTAAAAAATATTAGCATATCTCATTTTAATTCTACTTAACAATATATTTTATTTAGGAATCAATTGATGAAAAAGATAATCAAAAGGAAAATAAGAGTCCTGTGAAATCAAAAAAAGGATCACAAAGGATGTCAAATAAATTTGAAGAAAAGGAACTTATAAAGAAAGAATCCTTCAATGTCACACAAACAAATCCAAAAAAGGAGCTAAGAAGATCCTCTCGAAAAAGTGTGAAGTTTAATGGTAAATAAATAAATAAATAAATAAAATAATAATATGGTTAAATAAAAACTAATCTATTCTTTAAAAAATAATAAGGATACTTTGTTCTAGCTGAAGATTGCAGTGCCTGTGTAGAAAATAAAGTCACACATCCAATGACGCCGCATGTTAGACATAGTAAAGGTAAATTGAACCTAAGCTATTTGCAAGGAAATAGTACATTTATAGAAGCTCCTTCACCCAATACAGATTTGATTTCATGGGATTCTCCAAAAAGTAAGTAATATATAAATTTATTATTTCGTACATAACTAATAATTGTATCAAATTTCAGTTCCTGCCAGAGTGAGGAGATCTGTCAGAAATTCTAATAAACATATATTTTAATAATGTGTATTGTATAATTTTTGTATATATACTCTTTCACTTATTAACTACTTTAATATTTCCATCTATTTCTCTTGCATAGATCAATATTACATTTTTTGTCAAAAATTGTTTCTAATTAAATATATGATTTATTAATATTAATTGTTTTTGACAAAACTAATTTTTGGTGGTAATGAAAGTATAATGATATATTTTTAATAATTTCTGTAATATATACTATAAGTATATTATTACTGAATCTGTAATAAAAAAAAAATCTATATCTGATATAATTAATTAATTGAACCACCATAATCTTACACTGTTATCTCTCTTTACTTCCTCAGTATCATAAATTCTTTGTCCTGAACTTGTTGCTACAATAGGCAAACTTTTATGTACATTCACACCATTCACACTATCTTCAGATACTTTAAATTCACATTTTGGATTCACATCTTCCTTATGATTTTCAGTTTCAAATAATTCCCAAATAATAATTTTTCCATCTGTACCTCCTATCAAATAAATAATATATGAAACTTGTATTTCTTGAAATTCTTAACAGCTTATTAATAAATAATACCTGATATTACATGGTGACCATTATTTGTGATATCAAATTGTATCTTTTGGTTTGTATCTGCTTGCCGCTTTTGAAAAGAATAAAGTAAAACACCAGGATTACGAAGATCCCAGCATAAAAATTCATTATTACGTCTAACAGCAGAGTACAACTTAGTTCCACACGGACTAAATTCAACTTGTGTCACACCATTTGCTGTTTTAAAAGTACAGATAGGTGTATCTTTGTAAAGCCCTAAATATGAATAGAACATAAGAACATAAAAAAAATAAAATTTTGAGTGAAATTAAAAAAATTTTACTATCATAAAAGATAAACATACTATTCTATGAATATAATGCATACCAATACTTTTGGAATATGTACCAAATGCCACCAAGCCTGGCATTAATGGATTTTCACGAATACAAGATACTATTCCACTAGTATTTGGAAAATCTTTCTTAAAATTAATGGTTGCAATTTGTCGTCCAGGGCGGTTTGTATCAAAAATTTGTAGAGTATTTTTAAAACCACACAAAATTTGTTTACCAGAATCAATAAATTGAACACTAATGGAAGCTTTTACTTCATCGACGCTATAGAATAAATAATTTTTTAATTTATTTGCTTTAATTTAATAATTAAAAGCACAAAAATTAATACTAACTCATTATAAGCTCTGTAAGTAGCTCGCAATTCTCCTGTAAATGCATCCCATAAATGTATTGGACTTTCTTTACTGGTACTAAGAAAGCAACATGTTGCAGGGTCCCATGAATTCATGAAAGGATACCAACAGGTATCATATATAAGTCCTCCTTCCTTAACAACTAAAGCAGCTTTAAGATCAAATGTTGTAAAATTTGATGGTATTTTATCAGAATATAATGTTGTAGGAAGCTCATATAAGCGTATTCTAAAATCTTCTGATGGCACTAATAAACATGTACCATCTGGAGACCATTGACAACCTTTTGTAAAATTCTCGCAGAATACAGTTGGTTGATATTCTTTAGTAGCAGCACATATCAACTTTGGTGAAACAGTCCAATTGTAACTACAAAAAGAATCATTTGTTGTATTCTTAGAAGTTGAATCTAGATTGTATACTTCAGTTTTCTCACATGAATTTGCTTCTATATTTTCTATATTTGATTCAGAAGATACGCCTAATTCCTATAACATTGAATATATATATATATTAAATAAAATAATGTAAATATCATTTTATTTTATGATTTATTATGCATATATTAATTAAAAATATTGAAAGAATACTAACATCTATATTTAATATATGATCAATAGGCATCTCATTTGTATTGTTTGTAACATTAGGCCTTTGGATTGTATCTACATTTGTTTCATTATTAGAACTTCGTGCTTGTTTATTTTCTGTCTCTTTTATAAAAATATGATTTATAGAAATATTTTCAATTGCAGGATTGATAAATTCAATGTCCATATGTAATTTGTCTTCATCATCAACTAAAGATGTTAGACTAGTTTTACTAATACTTTCACTCTCCATAATAAATATTTTTTACAAAACTTAGAAAAAATACATTATAAACTAACTCTAGATATATGAAAACATGTGTACTTGTACACAATGTTACAGACTGACATACAAAATTTCCAGTGACCACTGTAGCAGTGATACCAACAGGTTTTTTATCTTGTGTGATGAATGTAAATATTTTTTTCATTTTTGGACAATATATGTATTTATCTAAATATTTTTTATATAATGATAACTATGATACTCTTCATTTACTTTAAAAATCGTATATAATTTGACTTTTGCCAATGTAATATTTATTCAAAACATTTGATTCTTCATTTAAAATTAGCGCCATTCTGTTATCACTATTTAATCGAACGCGCAATCTCAACTTTCGTCGAATAAGGACGAAGAAAATCGAGCAAGACGCTGACTATGTAGAAGTATGGTTTCATGAATTACTATTCTGTGCCAGAATAGTGGACGAGCTGTGGTAGTTCCAAGTTTATGTAATTCGGTTAATTGTTTTATCTGGTAAGCTTTTTGCTTTTAAATAAATTCTTCTTCACTTAAAAATATTCAAAAAAATTTGAAGCTCGCTTAGAAACAAAGTATTACCAAAACTTTGAAAACGAAATTAATATTGCCATATTTGATTTTCGATAGTTACATAAATGCCCAATTTACCATCCAAAAATTTTGTAGAAATTAAAATCTATTATTGCTAATTATTATGTAATGTATATTCTGTTATGATGTCAGTTTTTAAATAATCAATTTATTTGCTCATATGTTACATTCAAAATGACTGATAGTCAATTCAGAAATATCTTTATATATAATTTAATAAATGTATGAATGTAGAATATGTAATGTGAATAAAACTGATCTCCTATTTATCTCTTTTATAAAATTGCAGGGCTAACAATTAAAACAAACATGTTTTGCAATCGTATATCTTCAATAGTTCGCCTTGCTGCAAAACAGCAGCAAGAGCAACAACAACGAGGTATGGCAACACTTCAAGCCATCTCTATACGTCTTAAATCTGTAAAAAATATTCAAAAAATCACACAATCCATGAAGATGGTTTCTGCTGCCAAATACAGTAGGGCAGAACGTGATTTAAAACAGGCTCGTCCACTTGGTATTGGCACCAAAATATTTTATGATCAAGCTGAGATTTCTGCACCACCTGAAGAACCAAAGAAGCTAGTTATAGCAATAACCAGTGATCGTGGTTTATGTGGTGCAGTTCATACTGGTGTTTCACGTAATATCAGAGATGCTTTATTAGCAGATTCTGCAGAACGAGAAAATACAAAGATTATTTGTGTTGGAGAAAAATCACGTGCAATTTTATCACGTTTATTTGCTAAGAATATATTATTTGTTGCATCTGAAGTAGGCCGTAAGCCACCTACTTTTAATGATGCATCAAAAATTGCTGTAGAAATCATGAACAGTGGGTATGTAGTAATTATTTAATATATATATATATTTATATATATTACTCAAATTTTTTATTTACTTATATAATATTTACAGTTATACTTTTGGTTCTGGCCGCATTGTATACAACCAATTCAAATCTGTGGTATCCTATAATGTTGAACAACTGCCTTTATTTGATAAAAATGCAGTATTAAATGCTCCCAAGTTAAGTGTTTATGATTCACTTGATGATGATGTTATACAAAGTTATTTAGAATTCTCATTAGCATCCTTATTATTCTATTCAATGAAAGAAGGAGCTTGCAGCGAACAATCCAGTCGTATGACTGCCATGGACAATGCCAGTAAAAATGCAGGAGAAATGATTGATAAGCTTACTCTCACATTTAATCGTACACGACAAGCTGTAATTACTAGAGAATTGATCGAAATTATTTCTGGTGCTGCTGCATTGGATTAAATATTCCATCTCGACACCATAATGTGTTTTAATATTAGCAATCAATAATAGAAGATAGAAAACAGACAGAAGGGGTATCTGAATAAGTCTAAAATATTGTACACAAAAAACTTATTAAAAATGTGCTACAATTTGGACTGATCATGAATACATACAGTTTTCAACAAATAATTGAAATTTCTGAATTATTAAAACTGCACTTCTATTATTAAATTTATATGAATAAATTTATTAAATTATATTATATTACATAAAAATAGTTATTTTATTAGTTTTCATGCAGAGAATTTTATACATGTCCTAATCTTATATCATTGTCATTAATTGTTTTTACCTAAAAGAAAAGTCATTATTATATCATGTTCAAACAGTTTATGACATGTTTTTTATATAATTTAAAGGGTCATGTAAAAACTGCTAACGATCTTATTTTTTTTCACTTATGTAAATATATATATATATTTCCATCCCAAAAATTACAATATAACCTTAATTATGATACGTTAAACATATTATAATTATATTAAATATTTAATAAAAACAAAAAGTATATTATTTAATGTAATTACATTAACTTGTCATCTTCTATGCATTGTTATATATTCAAAAAATACGAACTAATTGCGCAGTCGTCTGACATACATGGAAACAAAGGTATTAATCTGCATTTTCATGAAAGCCAATGAAAGCTATACTAAACGTTTATTGGTCGTTATATAAATACAAATCCAATTTGTAGCATCAGACCAATAATCACCCCTAGAAAAATTAGTTCTAACAGCTATTACTACAATGATGAAAATACTCATTGATAAATAAGATTGTTTTGTAACTTGATGTATTAGACTCATGTTAGTTTGGAAACGGACACAAACATTTATTTCGACACCCAAAAAGGCTTATGTTAGGAAAACCATAGCTTGTTGAAGAAAATAAATAATGGTAGGAAAAAGAGGTATTCTTGGCTTACGATTTAATCAAGATCAAGGTACGTACTGTTTTGAATTAATGAAATTAATTCTTTATTTCTGACATCAAAATAAATTTTCTGAATTGCATTATACGATACTTTTTAAAAACAAAATATTTCTATTTTACTGTCTATTTAGGATGTTTCACATGTTGTATGGAATCTGGTTTAAGAATATATAATGTAGAACCTTTAGTCGAAAAAGCTCACTTTGAACAGGATCTTATGGGTAGCATTGCAATTGGAGAAATGCTTTGGAGAACAAATGTTATTGCTATAGTGGGTGGAGGTACACGTCCAAGATATGCAGAAAATACTGTTCTTATTTATGATGATCTTTCTAAAAAATTTGTAATGGAAATTACTTTTACTAGTCCAATTAAAGCTGTTAGATTACGTAGAGACAAGTAAGTTGCAAAATCTTTTTTTACTTTATATATATTTATAATGATTAAAAACTATGTAATAGAAATTATAAGAACATTTTTATGATTTAGAATGATAGTGGCTCTTCAAAAGGAGATACATGTCTTTTCATTTCCTACTCCCACAAGAAGATTATTAACATTGGAAACAAGAGATAATCCTAAAGGCTTAGTAGAAGTAGCTACTCTAGCAACAGCACAAAAGCAATTATTGGCTTTTCCTGGTCACAAACTTGGTAGTGTACAGTTGATAGATTTAGGTGCTACAGAAGCAGGAAGTTCTAGTGCTCCTGCCACACTTGCAGCGCATCAGGTATTAATTTAATATTCGATTGTAAATATAATAAATAAATATAAAAAAGAAATTTTAAGTTTAAATTTTGATATTAGGGTGCATTGGCTTGTATCGCTGTTAATGGAAGTGGAACAATGGTTGCAACTGCTTCTGCTCAGGGTACATTAGTTAGAGTATGGGATTCTTTACGTAGACATTTACTTGTTGAGTTAAGAAGAGGTGCGGATCCTGCTACACTATATTGGTATTACTTAAAATTATATATGTATTTTATATCTTCATATTGCGATTCTTTCTAATTTGCGATTCTTTTAGTATAACATTTAGTAGAGATTCAGAATTCCTCTGTGTATCAAGTGACAAGGGAACTGTACATATATTTGCTTTAAAAGACACTCATCTGAACAGAAGATCTACGTATGTGAATACACTTAACTAACTTCTGAACCAAATATGATGCAAGCCTTAAAAGATTGACTTCTTTATAGTTTTTCAAAGATGGGATTTCTGGGAAATTATGTTGAAAGTCAGTGGGCATTGGCTACATTTACAGTACCACCAGAATGTGCTTGTGTTTGTGCATTTGGTAGAAGAAGTTCTGTGATAGGTAATGGTTATTGTTTGCATAATTCTTAACTTTTACTAATACGATATTAAATATATGTCCTCTTATTTTTCAGCTATATGTATGGATGGAACATTTCACAAGTATGTGTTCACTGCAGATGGTAATTGTAACCGTGAAGCATTCGATGTCTTCCTTGATGTATGCGATGATGATTTTTAACAAAACAATGTTATATTTACAAAAATTAAATTTTGTACATATTCAGAATTTTTTACTACAGTAAATAAAAACTTTATAGGGAAGTTAGCTAATTTCCATATATTTAACAAATAAGAAGAAACAAAGAACATCTAATTGTTAGAAAAACTTTCGCAAATAATTTAATTTTGTTATTATTTAAATATAAACAAAATTTGATAATTGGATAAGATTACTAAAAATTACATTAGATTTATATCTTTCTAAGATGGTTTTGTTATCAATACTCTATCTTATATAATTTAATTATTTCATTGGTTATTATGTAAGATAATATTATATTTTACTTAATTTTACATAAAGCATTCAATAAATTCGATTTATTAAATGACTTTATCACGAGGAAGTTGTGTTTTGGCATGTTCTCTTATTGCCTCTAAAATAAATATTTCAAGATTAACAACTATTAATAATACTTCAAGTAATTTAGATGAATTACAATTTATACATACTGTAATGATTAATATTCATCATAGGGTGAATTAATATAGAATAAAGATATAATCCAATCACTCCTACAAAACTTCCCACAAAAATTCCATATCTCCAACCTTTAAAGCGAGCCATATTATGCCTAAATTTAAAAAATAATTAATACTAATAATATTAATTTTTACCAAAATTGTTAATTATAATTTTATAATAAAAATTATAAGCTGTTTACTTAAAAGTAATTCGTAGATTATAGTATAAATACAATAAATAACCTTAAACTCCTGAATGTCACTGAAGTTATCCGTACTTTAATTGTAGTTGGTAACAATAACCGGAAATTACACTATTTATTATGTTGTTAGACATGATTCATTCAAGGTCTATTAAACACTACTATAGTTTATTGGATATTTATATCATTTGTTTAATCTGTTAAAAAATAAAATAGATAAATCATATATATTTCTACGTATTTTATAAATCATAATCGATAATATCAGATTAATCTTGTGACTTTTTACTTTCGTGAAATGTGTCATCAATTGACAAGCTAGAGTCAGTTCCTGTTTTGGTTCTTTCTAGTTGTGTATTGCGTTGTAACAAGGCTAGTATTTCATTATGTTTTAATAATTCATTTTTTTCTATCTTAAATATACTTAAATTAGAAATTCGTTTTCTTATATCTTATTTCATATATACATACATATTTACATTCTTTTTAAATACTTTATTTTACAAGAATTTTGATGCACGTGGCGTTGCATGAATAGATCGGTTATGTCGAACTTTGAAGTTTCACACGTGCATTCACTTTATACATTTTATGTTTTAGATTACACAACCATGCAGCTCCAAATTCGTGGCCAGCAAACACATGTCGTTGATTGCCAGAACGATGAAACCATTCTGGAAATTAAGGTATGGTTAATTTTGAATTTTTAGATTACGAATTTAAATCAAAAAGTATGTGGTTCCTGATTCCAGCCATTTTTGGACATTTTGCTAAGTAAAGCTTATAGATAAGACATCTTCACTTGAAGGTTTTATCTATATTTTTATTTGATATTCTATTATATCAGATGCAATGATAGCATTAAATGATAATCTAACAATTGCATTATTTGCAATGTTAGAATGAGCAATAATGCTAAAATAATAAGAAAACTTTTTTAATTTATGTATGAACAAATATGTTTATACATCTTGTCTTAAGTTTTCAACATTTCTTTAATTTAACGTCTGGTGGGTCATTGATGACTAGCACTTAATTTTTCAGACTTTATTTAAAACATTTTCAATGTGTTTGTGATATCACAAAAGTATTATGCAAATACATCAATTTGTTTAAAATCAGTTTGATATTCAATATGTTCTATTTATAGAGAAAACTTGTTATAAACGCAAAATATTATTACGTTTTGCAGGAGAAACTGGCAGCACTGGAAAATATTGAAAATGTAAAGTTTAATCTTTACTGTGCTGGCAGTCTATTAGAAAATGAAGCTATTGTTGGAGACCTTCCATTTCATACCCTTGAATTAATAGTCCCTCTACTTGGAGGTAAATCTAATTATAATGTTGATTTTAACTCAATTTAATTATTTATTTTTTATCATTTAAATATTCTTTCTTTTTTCTTTTTTTCTTAGGTAAAGTCCATGGTTCTTTAGCACGTGCTGGAAAAGTAAAGGCGCAAACTCCTAAGGTAAATTATAATTTGACATTTACTATGCACTATTGAATCTAAATTATAATTTGTATTAATCAAATTATAAAAAAGAATTAGTGCAATATTAAAAGCAGATTAAAGTGAAGTTAAGTACTGAATCTCAACTTAACTTTTCATGAATGTGCAACATTCATTTATATAAATCAACTCTTCAAATAAACTTATTAAATATATTTTCTCAGGTTGAAAAGCAAGAAAAAAGCAAAAAGAAGACTGGTCGTGCCAAGAGACGTATTCAATATAATCGCAGATTCGTGAATGTTGTTCAAACTTTCGGACGTCGACGTGGACCTAATGCTAATTCTAATTCTTAAAGAATTTTGTTATGTATCAAAATAATGAAATTTTATTAAAATAAATAAGTTATAATACAATTACTCGTCATAATTAATTTCGACCTTTAAATTATACTTTGTAATTAAGAGATTGTAAGACGTGTGTAAATCAAATTTAAAGTATCTTCATATGAAAATAAAAAATTCGTTTTGTAAATATATTGACTCTTTTCTGCTATAATGTAAGCATGGGCATTTTATTATGATTGCATCTAACAATGGATAATGTACAGTAAATCGATTATTGCCTGGAGACCGTAATTTTGTAGATCAAGGATCTGATATTTATCTTTTATTTATATTTTACATAAAATAAATATGCTGCGTGCTGTTCACTTTTTAATAATAGCCGCACGCTCATAAAAAGAATATTTCAATATACGACTATAACTATGCTATATCAAGATTATAAGACTAGCATATAACTGTAAGGTAAAAACACTTTGCCCAGAATATTCTGGGCTTCGATGTGAAAGAATTAATAATTTAATTTAATGAATTCAACGTAAAATTAATTTATTAGCTTGCACCGATCACATGATCAAGTTTGCTTTTAGCGCACTCTGAACGAAAAATCTATATAAGAAAATTTTGTCCAGTTATAAAATATATGTATGGTAGATGAATTCTACTTGTTATATACGTTGATGTTATATTCGCGAAGTGCATTATAAATATGGCGAAATTGTTAGGTTTGGATAAGATCGTGAAGCTGTTCCAAATAATAAAACAAAATAACGGAATTATTAATTCTGTGAAGACATTATATAGGTTATTATTTTTATTATATAAATTTACATTTGAAAATATATCGAAAAAACATATGCAATTTCTCTTTTAGAATTATGTAGCGATTGTAAAGTTTTTTACGTCAAGTTATTTATTTTGAATTTTTAAATTTAGCAAACAAATAAAACTTATCATATACAATTTCGTCTTATATTGAAATTAAACTTTTTATTTTCGATTTTTTACTAAATATAAATGTGATTATGTAATCAAATTATAGTTTAAAATGATATTGCATTTAGTAATTTAATGTATAATAATAGTAAGTAAATAGGTAATTTAATGTAATAACACAGAAAATTTGTCATGTAATTATGATGATGTTACATATTTTATTTTTATATAATTTTTTGTTTATAAGAACTGATGATTTAAAATCAGGAGTCCTAATTGGTGAAGATAAATATGGGAATAAATATTATGAGAATAATATGTATTTTGTGGGTAAGAATTAAATATATATATATATTACTTTTAAAAAAATTTATTAAAATATATAAATGATATGAAATGTATTTTAGGTCGTAACAGATGGGTCATATACGCAGAACATGTAGGATTAAATTATGATGGTTCACAAGTCCCACCAGAATGGTTTGGATGGTTACATTACAAGACTGACTTGCCACCTCATCAAGATCCATCACGACCAAATTACGAATGGATGTTAGATCATGAACAAAATTTGTCTGGTACTTCAAAGGCTTATATGCCTTATACAACAACAAAACCAAAAATTATACCTTGGAAGCCACCAACTTCAAAATAGACTTAATTAATGCTAGAGTGAAGTAGTCTACTATTGTTTCCATGATTCATATAATTAAAGCAGAATAATAAAATGAATCTGTAGATATTAATAGACATTTTATTCCGTGTTATATAATAATTTAGTACTATTTTACATTATACTGTAAAGTATTATGATATATATGATTAATTTTATGATATGTAATTTATAAAATACATGACATATATACTTTATTAAAGATCTGATAATTTAATAATTGTTAATACAAGTAATTGTAGATTTTATCATTAAAATTTTTATCTATTAATGCTAGGTATACTTGCCAATTTAAATAAAATAAATAACAAAAGAAAAAAATATATATCTAAAATTATATATTTAATTTTAGATTATATATAAAAGATATATATAAAAGAATTTATATCTAATATTTAGATTTAGAATATTTATTATATTTAGATTATAAATTAATATATATAATGTTTAAATTATATATAATAGAATTATATATAAAGATTATATATAAAAGATATATGTATGTATATGTATATATATTCTAAACTTATGTACATATCTCGTATGAAACGCCTTCTCTGGAATTTCCTTTCAAGGCCTGACAATAGTCGGGACCGATAAGAAAAGTGGAAGCAGATATGGACCAAATCGTATTCGCATCAGCGGAAGTCATCTCTCTACTTCCACTAGAAGAATAGGATCACCGCAACGAGAGGTTCTTTTTGAATTCAAACGTTTAGTTCGTTTAATCGATGAACACTATTTTCATACATTGGAAACGATCGGTTTATTATCTTTAGAAATTGCTACGTTGTTTTAATCACGATTTATTCTACGATTCTATTTAATAAATCTTAATAATTTTAATAACTTTCAAAGTTAACTAAAAAAAAAATCTTTTATTTCTCGCTAGAGGATAATTTGAACGTCGATGCGTATACGAAACAGAGAGAATAATTTTTATTTAAATTTTAAATAGTTTTATAAATTTGAGCAAAAGTGTAATAGTGATGAGGTGGTTTACTGTACTTTCTTTATTATTAATTTGTTTAAGCCAGTGTATTATTTATTCAGAAGAAACACAGCAAAGTAAGTTATATGTTTTTTTTTAATCACATTATTAAATCTTTATTAAGAATTAAAATTATACTTTTAAAAAATCAATTAACTTGATAATACTTGTTTTATTACATTATACGTAGTATACAATATCGCAAATAATACTGATCATTGAAGTTTCACTGCAGGGAGAAATTATCCAGAAAAATTTTAAAATAGAAGCGTATTTTATAGGAATGTAACTACATAACATTGAAATATTTTTCTTTACTTCCTTGTTAGATCGGTGCCCCGTTGTACGATTACTAAATGGGAGGGTACGTGCAAGGGCTAGAGGTAGAATCGTTAGATTTAATTGTAACGATGGTTACACTCTTGTGGGTAACAAATATTCCACGTGTATACATGGACAATGGGACACACCAATACCAGTGTGCGTTAGTAAGTATTATTTTGTTTTGTTTATATAGATTAACTACTAATGTATGAAATTAATTTTTTATAATAATTATCTTTACATTGAAAGTAATTATATTCCTGCATATTTATAGATGCAGAATGTACACCTCTCCCTACACCCGAACACGCTTTAGTAGCGAAAAAACATGATGGTGCGATACTTATGTATTTCTGCGAAACTGGTTATGCTTTAATTGGAACATCTGAAATTTATTGCAACGGTCATAACTGGAACGCAACAGCTCCGTATTGTAGAGGTAATTTTATAAATAATTGGATATTTTATATTTCGGGCGTATATACTTTAACGTGTATATATATTCGAGGAAAATGAGTATGAAAATGAAATAGATACAAGCGCGACTGCACCTACAAGATGTGACTTCGAGAAACCGGATTTTTGCTGGTGGGAGCAGGATCCTCTACATGATTTTGACTGGCAGCGACATAATTTCGAAACTCCGAGCTCGCATATTGGCACGGGGCCGACATATGATCATACATTGGGAGCTGGAAATGAAGGTACTTATTTAAAATATTTGTTGATATTACAATTTCATTTTTGATATTTAACTTCAGGATATTACCTTTACATTGAGGCATCTGGACGTTTGGTAAATGATACAGCAAGAATTATCTCCCCTCTGTATAACTCTGTATTAACAGAATCTGGATGCTTTTCATTCTGGTAATTAAATAATATGTAAATAATATCAAAAATCTATTTATATGTTATTTTCAATAATGTATTTCTAGGTATCACATGTATGGTACTGCGATGGGTGGTTTACGAATCTATTTCAAAGCAGAAACTGATATTAACCCACAGTTAATGTTTCATAAGGACGGTAATCAAGGAAATCAATGGTTACATGGTATTTTTACTTTACCGAAAGTAGATAAAAATTTTCAGGTCAGTGCACAATTATATAACTAGAATATATAGTTATATATGCAGTTTCTACTTTCATTTGAAATTATAGAGTTCATCTATTTATTAATTACTCTATAGATAATAATTGAAGGTATACGAGGTACAAGCTATGTAAGTGATATAGCTGTTGATGATATTGCTATTTTGCAAGGAAAAGAATGTGAGACAAACACAAGTGATATTGGTACTACCACCATGACAACTAATAATAATGGTATATTATCTATTAAATAAGAACAATAATTAAATTTTTTAGCTTATTTTAACTTTTACCAGAGCTTATGAAATATTATAAAATTTTCAGATCAAGTTGAAATAGTAAGTGCATCACAAACTTGTCAAGGGAAGTGTAACAATTTTCCTACATCTCAGATGATTAATGTTGAACCACAAGATGAAGAACCACCTGTATATAAAGTAGAACAGTGTCAATGTACATTGGATTGTGCAGAATACTCCCTCTGTTGTCCAGATTATGCAGAATACTGTGTTCTTGGTAATAATCCATTATTTAAATATATTCTGTAAAAATAATCATAATATATTAATTTAATGTTTAATAAAAAAAGTAAAACATATATACAATCTTTTCAAGATTCAAACATATATACAAATTTATTTAAGATTATTTATAGCTTTTACAGATGATGGAATTATTCAGGAGATTACAGAAGCTACCATTAGTACTACTACAAATCAAAATAGAAAAAATGTTACAAGATTGTTGCCAAATATTACTAAAGCTGTGAAGTATGAAACTACAACTTTGTCAACAACCATTAATCATAGTCATATATTTATAAATCCAAAAGATGATATCGATCCTAATACAACAAAACCACGAGAAACAGAAGTACCAAAACCAAAAATATTTGTAAAACCTACTATGAAGAGCACTACTGTTGTTCATGTAATTGTACCCATTACAGTACCTAAAACATCAACAAAGACTACATATAAATCAACGGCAACAACTACAAAACATATTGAAATAACTAAACAATATGGTAATATATTTAGTTTCTATTAGATTATATCATTTGTAATGAATGGATTAATGCTACTAAATTTATTTTCTAAGTATAACGTAATATTTTATTTCAGATCCACAAATAAGTGTGAGAATAGAAAAACCTAAAAAACTCAATCATAACAGTGGAAACATTGGACTGCCTAGTATTATTGGTTTAATTATTGGCGTATTGGCTGGAATTATTGTTGTTTCAATAGTAGCATTCTTCATAATTACAAGAAGGAAAACTTACAAACGTGGCACTGGTAATTCTTCGCTTTCTGAAGATAGTGATGTTCGCTTCTTAACTTCAGATGAAATACTTGATTTTAATTTGGCAAAGCCTAGTGATAATGATGAGTTGTAAAATTTATCATATGAATGATATAACACATTTTGCAAATATCTTTCGTTAAACGGAGTGTTAGCTCACTCTTCACACGTGAGCATAAATTGATAAGTTATATCCAATGTGGATAGGGTTAAGTATGATGCAACAACAATCATTGACATTTATCAATGAAACTGTGTTAGTGATTATCGTGGAACTGAAATATATAATAATGTTAGAAGTGTTTTGATTTTTATGATTTTAATTAGTTCAGACAAATTAATAACCAATTTTTATAGTGGAACGTTTTGTGGTATTAGGTTTGTGTGATATAACATCAAGAGCATATTATAACTGAAAAAGCATAAACAAAATCTAAATGCTTCATTCCAATTTTACAAATTTTATTTTAAAATAAATGTATAACATATTATACCAACTGTTTGTATATACTGAACTAATCATATATATAAAAAAAATATCTAGAAGTAATGTGTCTGTATTTTAATAAATGAATTTTCAAACTAGTTTATCGTAGATTTATATTCCATATATCTACACATCATTGGAGCATAATTTTTTTTCTTTTAAAGCTGAAATTATGTGTCTAATACTAGGTATCCAAGCACTACACAAACTGGTGTGATCTATCATCAATGCAATGTGAAGTTTGTCTGCTTTATCAACATCTTCTTCTTTTAAAGCTAAAAACATTAAATAAATTCTACTTTAATTTCTATGCGTTTTATCTAAATAAATAATATATTAATTATATATTTTATATATTAAACTCACCCTTTGAAATGTCAAGTATTTTCTGCTGTATAAAATTATTTAATTTATTATCAAGCCAACAAGATTTCATTAAATCTAGTCTTTTTTGTACTTCATCTATTTTACTTTCCACCACATATTTTTTAATTATAAACTCTAAATTTGCCATTGTATCAACTAGAGCTTGTTGTTTGTCAAGTTTTGTTTCCATAGAAGTAAGTTGTGTGTTTGCATCAGAAGGAGTTATTAAAGGTGCATGAGGTGCTGTCTTTAAATCTAAAGGAGGAGGAGGTGGTAATGACATGCCTGCAGTATGAGATTGATATTCAGTATTGTTTCTTGCTGATTCCCCAGAAATTAAGGGAAATGGAACTCTTTTGTTCAGTATTCTTTTTGTAGGTGTATTTGTATTTCCTGGATATGGGGATGCCCATTTTGGCGTGTCATTCCAACCAGGATCATAAGAAGGTGGTAATGACTTTTGTGTAGAAATGGCATTATCTATAAAAGTCACATTTGTTACGTACTGAAGCAGAAATTGGTTTGGAAAATTGTATTAATAAAAAAATACAAATTCATAATATAGAATATTTCTTATAAATTGAAATGACATTGTAATTTAAAATGACATTTATAACGTTTATATATTCATTAAAATGAAAAGTTTAGATTATAAAATGATAACAATGATTTCTAAAATTATATATATATATTACTTTTTGATTTACCTATTATATTATGTATTTCAACAATTATTAAAGAAAACAAACCAATAAGATGAAATAGTTACCTGAAAATTTTTCGTCCATTGTTATATTCAGGAAATACGTGAAAAATAATTTACAAACTAATAAAAAATCATTAATGATACTGAAAATTCTGCTATTAAATTTTATCTATATACTTTGCATAGATGTTAATTTTATCTTTTATCAATAACCATATTGTTACATTTTAAAGTTATTAAACTATTCCATTTTTCTCTTTCTTAGTTGTATGATCATACATGTATACAAACATAACGTACACAATAGTAAACTAAAGTCAGATTTTCATGAATAGTAAAGTTTCAAGTTATTTTAAGAACTCACCAGGAGAATCTAAAGCAATGAAAATGTGTTTATGAGGATTAAAGTTAAATGCTTGTCACATTATAAACGTTTTACGAGAGCTGTATTGTTTGTACATTACGTGAGATATATATAATTAACTAGATTAGCTATTGTAAAAAATTTTACATTAAAATAAAATAACAATCATATTCGTTTATGTCATACATCTCATCATTTATACCTATCCATTCAAAAAGAAATTTATTATTGGATGATTTGTTACACATCAAAATTATAGGTTATTTTATTTGATAGTATTGTTAGTTTATAAATATCTTATTGCAATGGATGATCAAGCTTGTCCAAGATGCAAAACTACAAAATATCGAAATCCATCATTAAAGATGATGGTAAATGTTTGTGGGCATACCCTATGTGAGAACTGTGTAGACCTATTATTTTTAAAAGGTTTGTTGTTCTATATGTGACATATCTTAATACAATTTTTTAAAAATTAACTATAGTTATACATGCAAATTATATTATATTTTATAATCTATTATATCATTTGAAGGTTCTGGATCCTGCCCAGAATGTCACATTCCACTGCGCAGAACTAATTTTCGAGTTCAAATGTTTGAAGATCCTATGGTAGAGAAAGAAGTAAATATCAGGAAAAAAATACTTAGGGATTTTAACAAAAAGGAAGAAGATTTTGCTACATTGCGCGAATATAATGATTATTTGGAAGAAGTTGAAAATATAATATATAACTTAGCCAATGATATTGATGTACTTGAAACAAATAAGAAAATAGATCAGTATAAAAAAGATAACAAGGATCAAATAAATAAAAGCAAATCTAAACTTGGTAGAAAAGAATATGAATTAGAAGAATTGTTAGAATTAGAAAAACAGCAGGAAGAAGAAAGACGGCTAGAGCTTGCTAGAGAAGAAATGGAAGCAAAGAAGAAAAAGATCAGAGATAAAGAGGCTTTAATAGATGAACTTACATTCTCTGAAGGCAATGCAAAAAATATTGTTGATACGTTTGCATCAGCAATACAGAATTCCAAGAAAGAAGCAAAGACTGCCTCTCCAAAAGCTACTCAATTTAGTACAGGAATAAAGTTTGGAAAACAAGGAACACAAAACTACTTACAAATTCCAAAAGTAGAAGAAGGACCAATGTTTACATATATTCCTCTTAGACAACAAACAGAAGGACCAGCTGTTCCTACTTGGCGTGAAATTCAAACTCGAGGATACATATCACATGTTCGTGCCGAGACAAAAGCAGAAAGAGCAGGAGGATTTAAAGCACATGTTGCATGTTTAAGAGCATTACAAGAAGCTATGGCTAGTTTATACCACAATCCTTCACAGCATACAACAGAATTTACAACAGTTTGATTCTAAATATTATTGTAACATTTTGTGATATTTTCTTTTCACGTGATACATACGAAACCATAATCCAAAGTCTATGATTGACTCTCAACTGTAGAAGACTATTAAAGATAAACGTACAAATACATTTAAACTACGTGCCAAAAGCTGTAAGTGCCTCTGTTCCATAGGTATTGCCTTTATACTAACTGCTATAGTTAACAAATGGTATTAATAATTTCACAAAAAACATAAAGTATTTGCTATCTCATTATTTTCTTTTCGATGTATGTAAATGTTGTCTTAGTAAGTTAATGTAGCTTATAGATAGTTATACAGTTATAAGTATTTAAACAAAAAATTAATCTATATGTACATTGCGTTCATTGAATTTTTAATTTAGGAGAAAAAATAGTCCAATAAATTATTGTAATTTAGAAATTAATCTATCAAAAGGAAGAAATAATATATTTTATTATCATAAAATTATTATATCATTGAATTATCTCTCTGAAAAAAGATGGAAACATGTTATCAGGGATATATTTTATGTGTATATATGAGATATTCCATTTAAAACAATCCCCTCAAATACAGTAATACAAAAGATATTAGAAATAAAAATTAAATAGTTCCAAGAGGTACATAATGTGATTCATATGGGACATATGAAGATCAACTGTGTTCTTTAAATTAAATCATATGTTTTTGATTGTATTGGTCAATGTAGTTCGTCATTCTCTACAAAAAAGTATTAACCTATGTATATCGAAAAAGTCATTAGTTCAGAAAATATTTTAATTATAATATTACTTTCTGTAAGAAACTATCACTCTCCTATTACAACTAAGGTAATACTACTTTTATTACATTTTAGTAAATATCATTTATATATGATAAATATACTTTAAAAAATTAAAATATTTATGTATGAAACATGCAACAAATTACTTTTGTTCTAAATGTGATTAAAACAGTGGTGTGTAAATAGTTTACCTTAAATACGTACATTTAATATTATATACATGTAGAAAAATTATAATGTAAGTGAAGAATCGTAGTATAATTCATGAACATTTAATTATTACATAATAATAATATATAATAATCGAAACCATGTAACTATTTAAACAATAATGTATCTCTAAACTTTATGTGGCTAGTATACCACGTGAATATAAAATAATTTTAATATAAAATTTTATCTGCAGAATTGAAACTCGTAGAAATAGAATAAAAAATATAACAAAAAAAGTACCGGTCTTCAAACAACTTCAATAATTGACAAATTATTTTAATATTCGATTTCAATGAATCTATGTTGTATTAATAACGTACATAAATAGAATAAAAGTAATCTTTTGAAAGGTTAAGAGAAAATATATTTCGTTTCTATATATTTTGTTTCTATTAAAAGTAAATTCTTCATTCAGTGATCTTTAATATTTAACATAACTACAACATATATCGTCTACAGTATTGACATTGTCGAGCCTCTGTTATCCGAAAGTTTATAAGTTTTCTATGCATTTGGTCTTTGTTTATATTTGCTTATTATCTTTACGTAGTAGGGTAATGCTTGTCTTCGCATCCTTCTAATTTTAGTATACGTACTGCAAATATCTGATTATATTTATCTATGCTGTATATATGTATGTGTTCTGTCGGAACAAATACTTGTTTATATTTATCTGAACTGTAAGTGATCGAACTGTCTGTTATTGTGTTTTCTCGCTCGGATTTTTTGATATTATGTAAAATAATTTTTTTTATTTGCATTATTTTCTAGGAAAGTTGTTAAAACAGTTTGTTAATTACGAATTTGCATTCGTTTATAACCTATCATCATGTTTACAATGTCTAATAGTATTATTTTATTGTTTACAATGAGTATATTTTGGACGTTTATACAAATAAACATTACTGCAGATAATTCGTCTACACCAATTGTTATATGGCATGGTATGGGTAGGTATCATGTAAATATTTTGTTGCTATTAAAATTCATTAAGATTCATTATAGATATACATGTAAATTAAAGATTTATTATGACGACAGGTGATAGTTGTTTTGGCTATGGTATTGATTATATAAAACACTTATTAAGGAAAAGTATACCCGGAGTTTATATCAAATGTGTTCATAAAGGAATTAATGAATTGCAGGTAATATTCATTAGTAATTAGAATATTTATAGAAGTATATGTATATTCATTATGTAAATTCTTATTTATTTATAGGATATACAAAATAGTTATTTTGGTAATATTAATGATGATGTGAAACAAGTATGTGAAGAAATAGAAATGGATACAAATTTACAAAATGGTTACAATGCAATTGGTTTGTCACAAGGTGCACAATTTTTGTAAGTCCAATAAAAACTTCATTGTATTAACTGATTAAGGAATCTAATATTTGATATACGGAAAAATCATCTCAGAAGTTTTCAATTGAAATTATTTTATATTATGTATTTTAAAGATTCGTATTTATATAAATAATTTTATTGTTATATTTACAGACGTGCCGTAGCCGAAAGATGTTCAACTCCACCAATGTTAAATCTTATATCCCTTGGTGGTCAACATCAAGGTGTTTATGGATTACCACGATGTATTGCTGTAGATCATATTATATGCGAGTATATTAGAGAAGCACTTACTTATGGAGCATATTCCAAGTACCTAAATACACTACATTTAAAAAATAATATATGAAGCATTAGAAAAAGTATTATTAAGTAAATTATATCAAGAGTATTAGAAAATATTGTTAATATATATAAACACATACACATATATTAATATATATATATTTCTTTTCTTTTATATATCTTCTCTTATATATATCTTTTCTTTTTAAGCTTTGTCCAAGAAAAATTAATCCAAGCAGGATATTGGCATGATCCTGTGAAAGTAGATGAGTATAAAAGATACAGTCTTTTTCTAGCAGACATTAATAATGAATTAAATATAAATGAGGCATGTTGCTTTAATGTAAAATAATATAATTATTTAAAAATAAGTAACTATTATATTTAATGTATTACGGATAGCAAAATGAATGATCATATTTTGTACAATTTTTTTAGACATATAGAAATAATCTTAAAAACTTAAAATCTTTAGTTTTGGTAATGTTTGAAAATGATACTATGGTGCAGCCTAAAGAATCAGAATGGTTTGGATTTTATAAACCTGGTCAAAATAAAGAAATAGAAAGTTTGCAGGAATCTAGTTTATACAAAGAGGTAAACGTTAATGTAACTTTCATAGATTTAAATTTTATTAAATAATTTTTTTATTTTAGGACCGTCTGGGATTAAGAGAAATGGATAATTTAAATAAAATATATTTTCTTTCTGTTAAGGGCAATCATCTAAAATTTACAAATGAATGGTTCATGAAAAACATTGTGGACAAATTTCTTAAATAAGAATAATAGGAATAATAATTATAAAAATAATGTTTATATCTTGATGAAGTAATGTTATAGCATTTAATGAGGTGATATAAGTATATATTAATGCAATAATGAAATATTCGTTATTACTATTGACTAATGTAATAAATTTGTAAATATAAAATTATTTTACTTTTTTATTGTATTTTATATCATAACAATATAAGGATTATTTTCATCCAAAAAAAAACTCATTCAAAAGATATAAGAAAGTATGTATAAAATATGTATTATATACATATATGTATATATATATGTATAAATATCTGCAAACACACATTCTGGCAGAAGTCCAGGTGATCTTACAACGATGACTACTCAACTGATCTTACAATAGCAGCCGTTTCAGTGCTATTAGTGACGCCGCGTATCGTTGAGCCACAGAAAAATGTTTCGAATGTGGTGATGAATACGTAACATAGTGTTCACTGAGAAGAAATGAATACAATGTTGCCTTAATAACTTAATAACTAGTGATTCCGTATTATGTAGTGAGGCATTTATTATTTTTGTTTTTGTGACCAATAAATATTTTATGCATAAACATGGATGATAAAAGTGCTGTTTGTAAAAATGTATAATCACAGTACTTTTCGTTCAGCGAATCAGTATTTGAACTAATAAAGTAAGTCAATTAAACAATTTTGTAAAACATATCTTCTAATTTTATGATAATGAGTGCATAGATTCTATATTACAATATCCACTGTGATATAATTATGTATTTTATTTTATTCATATATACATGTAATAAATTTATTTCGAGCATGTAGATATATAAAGGATATTTTCTTAAAATTGAAATTTTATTGCATTGGCGGGAAAATAAATTACGTCGAAATTGAAAATTTCGATTAGATAAAATATCATCAATATTTAAATGAATAAAATTAACAATTATTTGTAATATTTAAAGAAATCATAAAATTGTATATTTTGTTCAAATATAACGATGAAATATAATAAATGTATGTACGCATGCATACATTAAATTTCATATTATATAAATTACAGATAAAATGGTATTTCAAATTGTAATATTTCTGATTTTTGTACTTTCTCGAAAGTTAGGCAAAATCTAATTATAATAAATAAATAATGAATAGCTATATTAATTAATTCGAAATAACTCATAGAAATGCATCACGCATATTCCTCCAAGAAAGGGGATCCTCTTTGCCCTCTTGGTTTTCATCCTCAGGTTCGATGGCCAACGCGATGCAAACGATGCTTCAGGTAATATATTCATATTACCATTTTCTAAATTTTATTACAGATTTGTTAAATAAAATAAAATTTAAATACTTCTAAAAAATAAAAATCCTACTTTGTTCACACGTGATTCTATTGAAACATAATTAAAATCTATAAATTATTAAGTAAAAATTATCAAAATTTATTTGTATATTCGAATATAACTGATAATTACACCATTCGTGTTGCCAATTTGTCAAGGTACGCAATCACCGGTCACAGCGGATTTCTATAAACAGATTGAGCTAAACCAGATCCTTCGAGAACTTTAGTTTCTAATTACACGTATTAAGAAATTAAATTAACGACAATATATTTATATATATATATAAATCTAAGAATTAACTATTGATAGATGGCATATTCTTTTGCCATTTTTCAAAAACACAAGCAATCATGATTTATTAGCA